CCGCCCCCAGCCCCGGTCCCGGCCCCCGGAGCCGGCCTCGGCCATGGGTGTGATGAGAGCGCCAGTGCTCAGCCAGGGCAGCGGGGAGCCTGCTTCCGCACTCCCACCACCGCCACGGCCTCCCACCCGGCCGGCACGTCCCGGCCGGCCTGCCAGCGTGCTGAGCAGGATTCCTGGAAAACAAACCCTTGTTGATCAGGGTCTGCGCTGCGTCCTGCCTGGGCCGGTTCCCAATTATCCCCTCTTTACCCTGTGCAGGTGCCTCAGCACAGACAGTTGCTGCTAAGGTCCCCGGGGTCACCCTTCTCAGGTGGAAACGTGGCTTTGCCGACGGTGCAGGCAGAGATGAGGACGGCAGAGGACTCGAACGGGACGGTCCTGCACCGCCTGATTCAGGAGCAGCTGCGCTATGGGAACCTCACAGAGAACCGCACGCTGCTGGCCATCCAGCAGCAGGCTCTGCGTGGCGGTGGGGGTGCCGGCAGCCCCCGCTCCTCCCTGGAGAGCCTCAGTCCAGAGGAGAGCCAAATGGTGCAGCAGTCCACGCGGCAGGAGCCCCAGGGTCAGGAGCATCACTCTGACCACGTCTACTTGGAGAACAGCGTCTATCGGCTCTGCCAGCCCCAGCACAAGGGCGAGGAGCTCCCGACGTATGAGGAGGCCAAGGCACATTCCCAGTACTACGCCTCGCAGCGGGGCGGGCAGCAGCCTGGAGGGGTCAGCCCAGGGATTCGGGGTGAAAATGGTCCACACGGGGCCGAGAGCGGTACCCGACGCCCCGACGAGGGGCTGAAGGACCTGAAGCATGGCCACGTGCGGTCGCTGAGTGAGCGGCTGATGCGGATGTCGCTGGAGAGGAACGGAGCCAAAGCGCAGAGCCCCATCAGTGCTTCCCACAGCTACCCCCAGCTCTCCCGCCACCACCAGCTCGCTGCCCTCCGAGGGCAGCACCCTGAGGGGCCAGAGCCACGGGGACCCCCTCCGGAGTATCCCTATGTCATCCCTTCCCAGGACACTTACCTGGCCGAACCCCGACCCTGCTCCCGGGAAGGTCCTGGATTTCAGCATCCTGAAATCAGGTAACCTGCGGCCTCTGGGCTCCACTTTTGGGGTGCTCACTGGGTGCCTCCCAGCCGTGGTGCCCCAGGAGCGGCCAGGATGGATGCTCGGAAGATGCAGGATGCAGAGAGCAGTGGGGGGGCCCGGGGCAGCCGTTGCCGAATCTCTCATCCTCACGGGGCCGGTTTTGGCTCAGCCTGTGGGGGTCTGCAGGGACACCACCGGTCCCCTCCTCTCCCCAGTTTCCCCCAGCACAGTTGGATTTTTCCAACCAGTGATGAAAATCCCACTGTGTCTGCAGACCCTGGCCCCTCCCCACGTGCTGGGAGGAATTTGGAGTTAATTTAGGAGCTGGAGCCAGCTCAGGAAACGGCTAAATGTGGAACGGGCATGGGGCAGGGTGGAAGGCAAACGTGCTCCCCGCTCCATGGAAACCCACCCCGTAGTCCTGAGCTGGGGATGTCTGCATAGCACCAGTTTGCTGCTGGTGCCGTGGGACTGCTGCTGAGCTGAGCCTGGGCTGGTGCCAGGTGGTTCATGGAGGCGATGAGCAGCGCTGGGCAGCTCTCCCCTTCCCTTCAGCAGCTTGACGCCTCCAGCAAAGAGCCAGGTTGTCTCCGAGAGGGCCATGGAGCGGTCTGGGGGGCCCAGAGGTCTAGGCGATGCCTGGCATTTGAGGAGGGCTGGAAAAAACTTCTTCCAGTGTGGAAAACGATGGGAAGAAGGGAACTGGAGGCTTGATGGGAGGATGCACGCTGCTCCCAGCCCTGCTGACCTATCCAGGTGGAGAGTGATAGCATCTCTGGCAGGAAAACCTTCTCCTTCCAGGGAACAAAGAGGGGAAGGGGAGCCGCGAGGAAGATGTATTTATTCTTCCTTTCTCCCATATCATCCTGCAGGAATGCAGGCCCTTGGCGGGCAGCCCACGGTGGAGTGGAGCCGGGCTGTGCATGGCTGCCCTGCTTGGGGTATTCGAGGCGGCCGCGGGTTGTCGAGGAACTCGGAGCAGTCGTGCGAGGGGCGGCTGGGCTGGCCTTGCTACTCCAAATACAGCAAGGGTGTATTAATAGTTTGGTGGTGAGGAGCCATGCCGGCAGCCCTCGCTTTGCCCAGAAAACAAGGAAAAGGGGCAGTGCTGCCGTCTCCCAAGGTGCATCCTTTACCGAGCTGTCATCCCTTTGCAGCACCCCCAGCAATAGGGTGGGCCTGGGGGGCTGGGAGCCCAGCCTGACCCACTGGCCAGGTCCTGGAGTTGTCAGGTCAAGGCATCCCTGTGAGACGGGGTTTATTTTGTGTTTGAGGGTGCTCAGGAAAGCACCTTTTAGAAAGCAAATGCTTCCCAGCTCTGAAAAGCAGGATAGATGCTTCCCAGAGCTTCCCTCCTCCTTTGGGGCCGCCCAAAGGCACCAGCAGCACCTGCTTGGCCCATGGGTTTGGAGCAGTCGGCTGGGAGCTGGAGATGCGGTCGGCTCTCCTGCCCTGCCAAGTCCCTTGAGCATCCCTCTCCTCTCTCCCTGCAGGGTGCTGCCCACCCACGTCCCCACCACTTTCCTGCCGCCACCGGGCACCCTGTGCCCGGGCACGCTGGGTCCCGCCAGCGTGGAGGCACTGGTGAGTGCCCAGGCAGTCTCGGCCAGCAGCCGCCTGGCCCGGGCAGATGCAGTCCTGCGGGAAAATGAGAGGCTCCAGCGGGAGAGTGAGAAGCTGCGGCGGGAGCTGGAGAGCTGCGCCGAGAAAGCAAGCTGCATCCAGAAGGTGAGCGAGCGGCAGCAGCCCTGTGGTCATGGTATCGTGTGTCCTCCCTCCCCATGAGCAAGGGGATGCTCAACCAGCTGCTGTGAAAATTCACCCCCTTTAGCGTTTTAATCCCTTCTTCCCCCTCCCTCCGGTGGCTTGTTCCTCTCTGAGCAGCTGCGTTTCAGCAGCACGGCAGCCGGGACGGGGGAGAAGGAGCCTATTCTCCGGTGACCCCCTCCCTCCGCCTGTCCCCCCCATCCCCAGCCGCCACAGAAAGCCCTTTGTGTGGCCGCGTACAAGGGGTGGCTGTTCCCCGCCGGCCGAGCTACAGCAGAGCCAAAACCTGTGGAGGGACTCTTCTGCATGAAGAAAGGCAGAAAAAATTGGTTTTCACCCCAAAACGTGCGCTGGGGGTCACCCTGGGGGGGGGTCTCATGGATGCGCTGAGCTCTTCTGACAGCTTGGGTTGGGCTGAGTGGCCTGGGTGAGCTTTGGCCAGCATCTCCCTTTCGTTTCCTCATTCCATGAATATCTAACCCCGGCCTGTCCCTTCCTCCGCCCCAGCTGGAGAGCGAGATCCAGCGCATCTCAGAGGATTACGAAAACCTCGTCAAGGCGTCTTCCAAGCGGGAAGCCTTGGAGAAAGCCATGAGGAACAAGAGAGACGGCGAGATGCGACGGCTCCAGGACTTCAACCGGGACCTGAAAGGTGAGGGACCCTCCACATCCCCATCCCCATGGGTGTTCTCCATTCCCCGGCTTTTCCCCTGTGTGTTTCTGCCAGGAGCCAAGCTTCCTCTGGCCAAAATCTTGTATTTAAATCTTAATTGGATTTAATTGCCTTCGGACCAGAGCGGTTGGAATCGGCGAACAAGCAGCTGGCCAGCAAGACCCAGGAAAGCCAGGAGAGCAACCAGGGCAGTGTGGCCAAACTCCTGGCGCAGAGTAAGTCCCGGGGGATGCCCGTCCTTGCCTGGCTCCCCATGGCATCCGTGAGCGGGACAGCGGGGCTCAGCATGCTCCCTTTCGGCTGGAGGAGGAGGAGGCGGGTGGTGAGCGGCAGCTCTTGCCCATCCCCAGGGAGGATGGAGCTGCTCTTGGCGCTGGACTCGAGCCATTAATCCTGGCCGGCCGGCGGCGTGACCCGCATTCTCCACATTCCTGCCGCCGCGCCGGCTCTTCCAGCATCGAGCCCGCACTCCCGCCCTGCACCAGCCTGGCCCTTCTCTCCCTCCTCCCTCCCGTGCCTTGCAGCTGCGCAGGCCTGGGCTTTTTTTGGGGAAAATATACCTAAATGCATTATTTTAGCAGAGAGACACAGTGTTGGTGTTACGTGGGAGGAATCGCATCCCCTTCCCTAAGGTGGCTGGATTCATGCCGGGCAGATTTTACCCTTCACAAGCCAAAATTTGGGCTGGAATGTGGCAAATGGAGGCTTTTGGCCATCTGCCCGAGTGGCTGGGATGCCCTTGACCCCCCACATACCTTGCGTGCTGAGGAAGGGATGGCCTGGCCAGGCTTTGGGGAGCAAAGAGCCCCCAGGGGGGGCTTTGTGGACCAGCCTTAGGCTGGCGAAGCCTCTTCGGCTGAGACCTGGGGGGGGTCTTTTGCAGGCTATGAGCACCAGCAAGAGAAGGAGAAGCTGGAGCGAGAGGTGTCCCTGCTGCGCAGTGCCAATGAGGACCAGCGGCGGCGGGCAGAGCTGCTGGAGCAGGCGCTGAGCAGTGCCCAGGCACGGGCGGCCAAGGCAGAAGCTGAGCTGCGGAAGAAGCGAGCCTACGTGGAGAAGGTGGAGCGGCTGCAGGCAGCCCTGGGCCAGCTCCAGGCCGCCTGTGAAAAACGGGAGCAGCTCGAGCTGCGGCTCCGCACCCGCCTGGAGCAGGAGCTGAAGATGCTGCGGGCTCAGCAGGTGTGTGCCAGCGAGACACGGCCGTGGGTGCTGGTGAGCCACGGTGGGTGCTGCATCCTCCCAGCACCTCCTCATCCTCTCTTTTGGGTTGTTTTCTGGGTTTTTTTTGCCACTGCAGAGGCACGCAGGTGCCGCAGGCGGGGGGACGCCGGAGCTGAGTGCCCACACGCTCTCTGAGCAGCTGAGGGAGAAGGAGGAGAAGATCCTGGCCCTGGAGGCTGACATGACCAAGTGGGAGCAAAAGTACCTGGAGGAGTGCACCATGCGGCAGTTTGCCATGGACGCTGCAGCCACCGCGGCCGCCCAGCGGGACACCACCCTCATCAGCCATTCCCCACGGCACTCCCCCAACAGCAGCTTCAACGAGGATCTCCTCCTGGCCAGCCACAAGCACCAGGAGATGGAGAACAGGTAGGCCCACCTTGCTGACAAGCTTGCGCTGTGTTCTGGCCAGGCGGTGTCTGCCTCCTCCTCCCCTTCCTCCGGCACCTCTCCCAGCTTCTGCCTCTTCTCCTCTCCAGGTTAAAAGCCCTTCATGCCCAAATCCTAGAGAAGGATGCCATCATCAAGGTCCTGCAGCAGCGCTCACGGAGGGACCCCAGCAAAGCCCTCCAAGGCTCCCTGCGGCCAGCCAAGTCTGTGCCCTCTGTCTTTGCTGCCTCCGCCGCCCCGAGCTGGCCAGGGGCTGGCCAGAGCGACCGGCTGGCCGAGGGCAGCTCCCGGGGCAGCACAGGTAAATAGAGGCACCTGCCTGCTCCTTGCCTTCACTCGGCAGCAGGGAGTTGCCTGCAATTTCTCCTGCAGTTTTGGAAGTAGAGAGCTTGAGGAGGGGGGATTTCTCCGGTGAGCCATAGGGACCAGCCAGAGGAGCTGGCAATCCCTAATGGCATCTCCTCCAGCAGGCAAAGCCACTGCCGAAGGGGCAGCAGCGCCCGCCACCCTCCCTCTGCCCTCCCACTCCAAGCACGGCAGCAAGGACGGCAGCACGCAGACGGACGGGGCGGCCGAAAGCAGCGGCCAGGGTGAGGGCACTGAGCGCCTGGCTGGTTTGCTGGGTGAGTCCCTGGGGATGGCACGGGGAGAGCTGGGGATGCTCCAGCCCGTGGGCTTGGCATCCAGGAGATGGGCTTTGCACAAGCATCGGTGATTTTTTAAGGCATTTTAAAGGCCCCATTTGAGCCTGGTGGGTTTGAATCCCTGCAATCGCTCGTTGCTTTTTCACTTTTCAGGTGCAGAGCATTTTTCTTGAACACTTTGGGGGAGGCTGGACTAGCAGTACACTTGCTGCCGGCCCTTCAGTGGGATGGGCGCCATGCTGATGCTCTTCACCTCTCCTCCAGCTCTCACCTTCTTTCTCTGCAGAGAGCTCGGCTGCTGCCAGAGCCCCGGACCTGTCTGACATGGTGGAGATCCTGATTTAAGGCCACCCACAGGCTGCACGCCAGCCCCTCCACCCTCCCTGCCTGCTGCATGGGCAGAGCCACCCTGCCTGCACCTGCCTGGGATGGAGGAGCCTGCGGGAAGGAGGACCGAGCCTGGAGCTCAGCAGTGTCCCCACGGCCAGTCTCAGTGGGTGGCCTCTGTGCATGGGAGAGCCACTGTCCGCGCTTGGCACCCACACGGGTCCCCAGCTGCGCGGGGCGCACTGGAGCCCAGGAACCCCACAGTGGTAGTGGAGCCTTGTGACCCCCCTGTAAATACACCCAGGTTTTGTACGATGGGAGCAAACATACTTGTTGTTTCAGCCTCTTCTCCTTCCTGAGGTGGGGGGCTTCTTCCCACCCCCTCGCTCATGGGCTCCATCCCCATCCCGGCTCCATCCCCATCCTATTTCTGGGTCTTGGCCACCCGCATCCACCCAGGTGCTTGGCCTCCAACTGGAAAATCCCTCTCTGTTCACCTGAACTGCACCCACAAGGAGATGTCTGCACAAGGGCAGAGCTGGGAGGGATCCTCCATGGGTCCCATCGACCGCCCGGATCCACGTGGCCAAGCCAAGCACCAGGACCCCCAAACCACCATCATCTGCATCCATCACCTGTATCCGTCACCTGCAAACCTGCCTCTGGGTTTTTATCACGGGCAGGCGAGCGGTTTGGGATGCGGTGGCAGTGAAGCAAAAGACAATGATAATCAAGAGAATGAAAGGTGGAGGAGAAATCCCCTTGAAACCAGAGGTGAAACGCTCAGAGTGAACCGAGGATGGCTGATGGAGGCAGTGGGATGCACCGCCCCTCTTGTGGCTGCATCCCACCACCACATCCCCTGGCTACTGGCAGCTGGCTTCTGCCCATAGCCAGCACCAACGTCTCGGTCCTCTGAGCTGGGATGCTTCCTGTCCTTGCCCTTTGTGTATCTGTATATTTTTTCTTTCTTTCTTTCTTCTTTAAACATGTGTGCATTTGCTGGACAACTGCATTTTTTATTTTTCTCTCCCAGACACGTAAAAAATGCGTTTGGTTCTCGTGCATTGTTTACAAAGTGGAAGACAAACAAACAAAAAATTATGAAAGAGGAACATCCCCCCCCCCCAACTTAATATATTTTATATTAATATTGGTATTTCTTTTTAAGTATTTTTTTCGTGCTGTGAACTTTTTTTCCTGCCAAAGACAATGAGTTCCTGTTTGTGCGTTTTAAGTTATCTTAAGTATTTAAACGTAAACCTGGCTGTTTCGTTATGCCGCCCTATACCGAGATTGCTGTAGCATTCCACTTGGTATAACAATATTTTAATAAAAAAACCCCAAATATTGACCCACGGGTACTCTTTTTTCCCATGCGATAGGGTGAGAGGGAGGTGCTGCTGAGGCAGAAGGGGTCTAGGGGTAGCGACCCCCGGCTGAAACACTGCCCTTCCCAGCTCCCCGGGGCAGTGATTTGGGGTGCAGCTGCATGGGACAGGGGAAAAAAATGTTGAAGAGCATCTCTGCATTCCCCAAAATCCCATTGGGATCCCATTTCCCCCACCTCGATGGGAGAAAAGGATGGAGTTACCTAGAAATGTTGATATCATTTCCTTCCTGGGTGTAGTGCTCTGGTAATTCCATCCTGATGGGATCCTCCTCCTCTTCCTCGCAAGACCCTGTTCCTGCCCTCCTAAGCCCCTGCCACAGGGCCTCCTTGATGGCCACGTCTTCAAGCATGGCTGGACACGGTCCCCAAGCTCTCCCCTGGCTTTGTCAGCCACCTCCAAGCCCTTCCCACCCTGCTTCGCTCCTTGGTCTTCTGGAAGACTAGAAGGTCTCCTGGTGTTCACGCTGGGGCTACCTTAAGTCTTCTACAGCCACACCATGCTGCTGCCCAGCCCTTCTTCTCTGAGCTTTTTGTTTGCTGCTGTCATTTGCCTTTTATTTTTAATAGCTGTTGTGTTAATGCTTCCCAGGGTGCATCCCCAGGGACTCTGCTCTGGCTGCTTGGGTGCTGGCAGCCTGGCTGGAGCCATCACCAGCTGGGCTGGGGCTTTCCCTTTTGTGCATCACTTGGCATTTATTGGCAGTTTATTTTTTTTTATCCTCCTGTCCCTGGGGACCAGGGAATCTTGTGCAAGTCTCTGCAATGGGCTTTAGCTCAGATTATGCAGAACAGTGGTGTAAGAAACCAGCTTTGCTGCCAACTCATCCCTGGAAGGTGGCTTAGGACTCCATTGAGGATCACTGGTCTTGGTGGGACTGCGATGCTGAACCCCGGCTTGGCTCTACCCTTCCCACCCAGGAACCTGGAAGGAGCCTGGCTGAAAATTCAGGGCTTCCTGTGGCTGTGGGACAGGTCTCTGTCCCTGCAAGAGTAGGTTAGAGAGACTCGGAGTGATGGGAAGCTTCCACCCATGACTTCTCCTGGGTTTTGCAAGCAGGGAAACAAGATCCTCCTATGCACAGGGCATGTCTGAAGGGGACCGTTCTGTCTTCCCTGAAATGGGGCCAGCAATGGGGAGAACTGGGTGCAAAGCTTATGGGGAGCTGCTGCTGCTGGGAATATGTTGGGGGGGTGCCCTGCCTCCCCAGCTCCTGCTGCCCGGGAGCTGGCATACCGCCCCGAGAAGGCTTGCAGCATTCCTGGCATACCGCAGCTCTCACGCCCCACGCTTTATTTACCCGAATCCGGATGCAGAGCGGCCTTGCGGCAGGTCTGGCTGTTTGCAGGCAGCTTTCTGGGTCCAGGGATTCAAGGGATGGGCTCCTGTTGAGAGCTTTGCCCACTGCTTGACCATTCTCCATCCTGCCTGTTGCCCTGTGGACCCCCATCCCCAGGGCTTTCACAGTCTCTGGGAGCCAGAAAATGGGGGAGCACAGCCCCCAATGAGGTGGCAGAGAAGCGTAAAAAAATAGGAAGGGAAAGGAAAACCGCAAAGCCCATCTGTACATGGGGGAGTCAGGCTGTGGGGAGAAGACGCCTGAGCCCAGCAGGTTGGGGCAGGAGGTCCCGGCTCCTCCTGCTAATGCCCCTGAGGATGCAGCAGCAGCGCCCAGATTTGTTTGTTTTGGTAGGGTTGCTTTTCAGCCTAATGGATCTCCATGCCTTGGTGCAAAGAAGGCTGGTACAGGGGTACGTTATCACCTGCTTTATCTCTCTGTCATCACAGGCATTTCCCTCTGCTCTTTCCAAACTGTCTCACTGGATTTCACCATCAGCATCACTTAGACCCACAGTCCTTTATGCCACGTGGTTCCTGCTCAGGCCAGGACATATCCCTGTCACATTGGCACAGTTGCCAGTGACTCTTTTGCTGTTTCAGCTGAAATACCGTGTGTGGTACTTCATCCCTGCTTCCGCTCCCATCCCTGTGTCCGTGATCTCTGTGTCCTTGCTCCATGTGTCCCTGCGTCCTTGACCCTTGTGTCCCTGTGTCCCTGTGGGCTTGACCTCTGCATCCCTGTATCCCTGCATCCCCGTGACCCTGCATCCCTGTGTCCTCCATCCTTGCATCTCTGCATCCCTGTGTCCTCAATCTCTGCACCCCTTTGTTCCTGCATCCCTGCATCCACAATCCTTGCATCCCTGTATCCCCAGGTTCCCATGTCCCTGAGAGGGGGTGGCTGGAGATGTTTGCTGAGCTGCTGGCTGAGCTGGTGCCTGGATGCGACACCATCTGTGGGTTGCACATCCACAGCCCTGGAGAGATGGAAAAGGGCCAGCAGGCTCTGCTCTGAATGCCACCACTGTCACCCCGGTGGCTTTGAGTGAGACACCCTGTCCTAGGGCAACAGCTCTCTCGTGGGTGAAAGGGAGACAGCTTGTCCGGCCTGGGGGCTGTTCAGGGAGGTACGGTCCCTCCCGTAGTCACGGTGGGTCCGGACAAGGTTGAGGATCTTGTTAGGGCCCCATGGCCATCCACTAAGTCCCATTCCCAGCCAGGAGCATCTCGTTCTCCTGGTGCCATACCACAGCAGCATCTCTGCAGCTTTGGTTCCTGCTTTTCCTCCTTTCTCCCTAGAGCCTGGAGGTTGGAGCTTGGTCCTTGGAGCATCCTTGGAGCTTGGCAGGTCCTTTGTTGGCCCTGGTGCCTTCCCATCCACTCCTCGTGCGTCTCCTCTCCTTTTCCACTTGCCAAATGCTGGAGCTGGATGGGGAAAGACAAGGTCATTGCAACCTCCTTATGATGGAAAACGGCTCTTTGAAAAGCTGAAAAATCCCCAACAGGATTTGGGAGAAAGGGAATTTCTCTCCCCTTCCAAATAATCCTGATTCTTGTGGGGGAAGTTTGGCAATGCTGCGGGCCAGCCCTGCAGCCGGCTTCCCAGCAAACCAGTTGGGCAAACTGCGGTGCTTTCTCTCACCTCAAGTCCCGGCTTGCTCGTCGGGCCAGCAGGAATGAAGCTCTCCCCGCCGGGCCTGCTGAACCCTTCCCTTCCGCCTTCCTCCTTCCTCACCCCACCGCCTTCCCCTAGGGGTCCCCCAAGCCTACAGGCTCCTCTCTGTGCCCAGGGCTTGTTGGGGGGCTCTCCCTTGGCTTTCTCCTGCTGGGAGGCCAATGCTTTCCGTCCTCCAAAGTCTTTGCATCAGGCTTTGCATCCCATTGCTGTTACAAGCCACCCCCCAAGATGTCCCCTCCCTTGCAGAGCATCAGTGTGCAGCAGGAGCTGGAGCAGAGATGGGACCCACGGGGTGAGGTGGCTGTTGTTATTTAGGGGAGATGCATGTCCCCACGTGCATGGGGGTGGCCGTGACTCCCCCCAGGATGCTCCATCCACCCAGCTGCGGAGCGGCACGAGCATCCTCCAGCACCAGGAGCTCCTTCTTCATCCTCCCCAGCCCCAGGTCCCTCCCAAAGCCCTTCCTCCCAGGCCTGCGGCGGGGACCAGCCGGGCGTCGTGGCAGGGCCGGCCAGCTCCTGGCCTCGCAGCCAGCACAGGCAGGCTGGGAAAGCACCCGGCGCTTTGCTGGGCTAAGCAGAAGCGGTTGGGCCGTGGCGCAAAAGCAG